GGAGACTCTTAAGATGTGGGGGGAAATAAAATGATAATGAAAACGTTTGTTGTTAGTCTCGGAATATTGCTGGTCAGTGCACCAAGGATTCAGTTTCTTTCCTTGCCCTGTCTTACTTGTGTTCAAAGAATAACAACCAGAAAACAAAATCTCATCATGGCAAATATCCACCAGGAAAACGAAGAGATGGATCAGCCCCTGCAGAATGGACAAGAAGATCGCCCTTTGGGAGGAGGTGATGGCCACCAGCCTGCAGCAAACAACCACAACCGAAGAGGACAGGCTCGCCGGCTTGCCCCTAACTTTCGATGGGCCATACCCAATAGGCAGATTCATGATGGGTTGGGTGGAGATGGAGATGATATGGAAATGTTCATGGAGGAGATGAGAGAAATCAGGAGAAAACTTAGGGAGCTACAGTTGAGAAATTGTCTGCGCATTCTTATGGGGGAGCTCTCTAATTACCATGATCACCACGATGAATTCTGCCTTATGCCTTGACTTCAGCCATTTTCCATGAGATTCATACTGTGATTCCCAATGTATTCCTATTCCTTGCATTTTCCTGACAATGCCTTTACTAATCTTTGTGGTGAGCCTTGTGTTATTTCCATGTGCCAGGTGGGTTTTTGTGTTGCCAGCTTCTCTAACTGGAGATTGCCTTCCCACTCAGTGTACATTTCTGTCAACAATACAGTGTTGCCCATTTGCATGGAAAATGTAAAGTAAATAAAGCAACTGAAAAGCAATCTGAATATTTATTATCGTCTCCTTAAAGCATACATACTTACATAAGAAATGAACCACAAAAATTCTGAAATTCAACAGTATTGGGGATGGGGCGGGGGCGGGGGCACATGCATATAATTTTCCTTTTGTTTGGAGTTTCATAAACTTTTTCAGTGATGTTATGAATTTATTACAGGTATATATTTGCTCAACAAAGTTAAGGCATAAATCCTCATAAATACAATTTCTCAAGAGTGTCCTGTAGTCTCTTCTGTGACGTAGTGGTGAGTGGAGTTTTGCAAAGGTGTGGAATAAATGAGATCAGGTGTGGGGATCTGCTGGCTTAGGTTTTTCCCTACTTTTTAGAATGCATTCAATAAGCCCAGGCCTCCAGCCCTTACCAAATAGTTGGGGAGAACTGAGGGGAATCCTCAGTCCTTGCCCATTCTCCCAATTCCATACAGGAAAAAGAGGTGTGTTCCTCCATGTCATTTGTATGTTGCAATTGCACTTCTCTGCTTACAGGCATATGATTTAGGCAAACATCTCCTTCTGATTCCTGTTTTCTGTAATGGGGATGACATGCCTGCAGTCCTCTGCATAGCTAAATCTAATTTGTTTAAAGTATGTAGTGACTTCGGTATGATAGTGTGGAAATGCCTTTATAACTTGACATATTTATCTAGGTGGATTCAATCCCTATGGTTCTTAAGAAAGTAGCCCTTTCTGGTATTATTTTTGTGTTCCCATTTAAAAAGCTCTGGCATGGGTGCAGTGGGGCCTAGCACAATAGATAGCAGATGTCTTTGAGGGTTATGCCCAGAGCTGCATTACTGTAAACCTCCAGAACACAAATAGGCTAACAGCTTTATGGTGGTTCTACCCTGCATGGATTTCCCTTAAAGCAGCTCTCAGCAGGTCTGCCCCCCCACCCTCCCCCAGTTTAATGGACTTCCTAGAAACATCAGTTTCATTGGGGAACAGGCATTCTCTGGCTGCATCCTGTTTGTCCCATCCATACCAAAACATAAATGCCGCTGTGAGCTCTTTTTTTCACTTGTTTAAAATTTAAAGCCAATCTTTTCTCATTTTACATACCAATCCCAGTTCCCACTCCCTCCCTCCTCCTGTTCGCCCCATCTTCACCCCACTCCACCCCATTCAGTCCTCAGAGAGGGTAAGGTTTCTCGTGGGGAGTCAAGGAAGTCTGGTGCACACACACCTCTTTAAGGCAGAACTGAGGCCTTGTATCTAGGCTGTGAGAGTATCCTTCCATAGGGAGAATTGTCTCTAGCTCATGCACTAGAGATAAATCCTGGTTCCACTGTGAGCAGCTCAAAAGACTGCCCAAGCCACACAACTGTCACCCACATTCAGAGGGCCTAGTTTGGTCCTATGCAGGATCCCCCACCCCTGTGTCAGTCTGGAGTCAGTGAGCTCCCACTAGCTCAGGTCAGCTGTTTCTGTGGGTAACCATTTTGGTGATACCCACAAAAACCATTGTGAGCTCCTAAAAACCATGTAAACTATTTAATTTATGATTTTTATGTAAAGGTGTATCCTCTAGACAGTAATATTGTCTCAATTTTAGTTGAATAGTCAGTGCCTGACAGAGTAATCGGAAATTGTTGATTATTCTGATAGGCTAAGTACAGTGGAGTTAGAAACCCTGTTTGATACTGTTCCTAATTGACTCTATGAAAGAAGGCTAGTAATCACTGATCTGGGAACTTTAAAACAGCACCCCAAAGAAAGTCTTTAATCCCATATGCAAAAAATTATAGACTTTATAATATGTTCGTGTTTATGGGAATACAATGCACCTACCTGTACACATAAGGGAAGCACTAAGATTGAATTCTTGACACTTGGGTGCCCTTCTCAGCTTTGTTGTCCACTGTTAGCAATCTCTAAATCACAGATTACTTTTATATCAGTGACCCAGTTGATTTTTCATGTCTTAAGTTTTGACAACATAGGTACAAAGAAACTGTCGGAAATCTCACCATTTTACAAACATGATCTGAATTCCTTTACTTGATTACACAATGAATGTACAGTTCTAAAATTATTAAATTGGACTATATTAAATATTCAGTGTATGAGTATAGTTTAAGCTAGTACTGTCTTTAATTTTTAAAATTGTTTCGTTAAGTTACTGCATTACTACTAATAAATTTATGATACTAAAATTATGCATTATACTTTCTGTGTAGGTCCATGCCTTGTTCATTTATAACAATAATTTTGTCTTTGCCATCCAGAAGGTCAGTGTTTGGCACAGTGCCTAATATAACATATATTTAATAGCAAGATGGTATTTATTAAGTTATTAAATAATTTCACAGTTATTAATCTAAAATTATATACAACAATCCATATTTTTCTTCCTGGTTGATTTATTTTTATAAACAATGTTTTTATGATGAACATTCAAAATTTGCTATCTTTTAGAAATATACAATGAAAGGTCATTATGCACACTTAGATTGTGCTGAAAAGTAAATAAGAGCATAAGCAACCACATCCTGTCATCCAGAAATACCACTTGTCATTTTTGTCTTTGCCCTTTTTGTAGTCACAGTAGAGTCAGATGCAGACCCTCACAGAAAAAAAAAAAAAAACAAACAAAAAAAACACTGCTTCTTTCTCACCTTTCAAGTTGGGTGTGGTGGCACTGCGCTGTAATCTTAGAATTTGGGGGTGGAGATAGAAAAATTTTTAGTTTGAGGATCTCCTTGCTACATGAGATCACCCCCAAATGAGCTATTATTTAGCCAAACTCAGTAGCAATTTTCGAGGCAGCACATTTCAGTTGGCAACCTTTTAAACATACATTATACTTACTTTTGTTTACTAGAACAAGATAGAACTATTTACTTAAGATTAAAAATTGTCCCAGTAACAGAAGAAAGTCTGGATTCCATTAACAAGATTATCAAAATTCTATGTCAGTTCTGTCTTCTTTCCTGATAATCACATGTATTATGTAATGCTATGCTGATCTTGTTTAGAAAGAGCAACATTTTAGATTTTTCAGTATTATATTTGCACTTGTATTATAATTGCAACTGAGACAGACAAAGAGGACTCCCTTCTCTCTGGGGCACTAGGTAAGTATTAAGCACTGTTAAAAGTCACCATTACTATTAAATTATGTCCTTTTTGTGTAAATATGCAGGCATGGGGGATGGATAGGGCAATTGGACTTCTAACTAGCTGTTATCGGACTCTTCCTGCCCTGCCTGCCTTGAGCAAAGGGACTATCAGCCAAAAAGCCAACCAGACTCCCCTTCTGTCAGCATCAGCCAGCTTCAGCACTCCACAGAGGATTTGAGAACACTGCAAAGATTGCATCTGGCTTCCCCACCTCCTGGAGGTTCAATCGGGGGTGTTTGAAGCTGTTTATATCAGACCTTTCGCTTTTACAAAACTTAATGAACTCTAGACAAGCGGGTAAAAGCCTGTAGGATAAGACAGGTCTGCCTAGAAGTATTAAATTAAATTGCCATTCTTAGGACTGCAGTAATAACTGAGAAGAAGATAAAATCAGCCAACGAGAACATAGAGACTGAGAGGAGATAGGGCTTGCAATGTTTAGAGAAGAAATATAGCTCAGTTCCTAAGGCTCCAAGTTTGTAATTTATCAGAAGCAACAATTAGATTAAAATCTACAGCCTGTCCCCTTCCTAAGCAAAGCAATGAAAAGAAAATAATATAAGACGGTGATAAAATGTTCACATTAGGTAAATGACAGAGAAAAGATGAACCTCAGAAAACTGTGAAAGGCATACTCTATAAGATATCTGATACTGTTTTTTAAATATCACAGAAGGCAATGAATGTTCTGTAATAAACAGGGACAGTTAATAAAGAAAAACTGTCAATCAACCCACTAGGAGTCTCATACTCCTTAACTTATATCACTCCATGAAAGGACGCTTCACTGCTTTCTGTGTTGCTATGATTAAATGTCCTGGCACAAGCAATTTAAGAGGAAAGGGGCTTACTTTGGTTCACAGTTCAAGGGGACAGTCTGTCATGGTAGGGAAAGCATGGTGGAAAAATCTTAGAGGTGGCAGCTGGCCACATGGAGTCTGCAGGCAGGAAGCAGTGAGATAGATACTGTTCTGTCAGCTTTCTCACTTCTCATGCAATCTTGGGCTTCCCCCCTCCCTTGAAAGGCCCCACCCACATTCAGTATGAGTCTTTTCACCTCATTAACTTAATTTAGATAAGACCTGACACATATACCCAGGGGGCTAACCTAATCAATATAATCCCTGACAGACATTTCTCCAGGAGTCTAGATTTTGTTTAACTGACAGTATTAACTATCACAAAAGTAAAAAAAATCAATAACAATAAGTTACTTTTCTCTCACCGTGACAAATACTCGAAAAAGTCAGCTTAAATGAGCACAGATTTATTTTACCTCATGTTCTCAGTGGTTTCAGCCATCATCAGTTGGTTCTGTTGCATTGGGCCTGAGATTATGACTAAGCATCAAAACTCAATAGTATGTGTCAAAGGCTGCTCAGTTTCTCTGCTGCAATGTAGACAGAGACAGGAAGGGGCCAGCCACGACTTCTATTTTGCAAGATATGTACCAGCAGATCTGCTTCTCTCAACCAACTTTCAATATGGTCATCATTGTGGATTCACCAAACGGAGGCAGGATAATAAAGACAGGGGAAATATTAGGGACATGAGAAGGAGAAAGGACTCCCCCTTGCCCTAGAATCCAGTGAAAGCTTCTTGCCAGCAAAGAAGCAAGAATTCCAGCATACTGTTATTAAGAACTCCTAGACAGGTGCTATTGGACTGCTACCAGCTGCTACCTTGCCTGCCTTGAGCAAAAGGCCTTTCTGCCTTCCCACCTGAAAAACCTGAATTTTTCAGCAAGCATGCTAAGCAGTCCACTTACAATGGAAGGACATATACTAAACACATTGTGCAATACTAGTGGCTTCTGGTTTTCTCTTATCAGATTCTAATTCCACCTAAGCCATCTTCATGG